TCAGCTTAAGTTTCCCCTTCAAAACCCACTTTTTCCCCATTTTTTCAGTCACCCTGCACAACAACACCACCCTTCCTGCCATGCAGGCTCATAATCTGGTGTTGTCTTTAACCAAGCCCTACCTGGATTTATACTTTTAACATGAAGACTCCATATAAATCTGGCCAATTCATCCTAAGGATCTCCAAGATCTAGCATTTTTGGCTCAGTCCAAATCCTCTATATAGTACATCTTAAGTACTCCAACTTTTTCCTTTTTCTTCTTGAAAAGTCTGTTTTACTTCCCAGTCTTAAATACATTCAAAACACTGCTGCAAAAGATACTTTTCTTGATCAATGTTTCAGCAAGGTGACATCTGTTTGCTGGTTATGTATGGCATAATGCAACTGCCTGGCTTGATCCTCCCTTAATTATTTTCTCCTTCATGGCATAAGCCTGTCAATTTTACACTTCAGTAGACGCTACCCATCATTGTTCATTAGTCACATGTACAAATCAGGGTTTTTTTTAAACAGTACAGTGATGAACACTGTGTAGATCTGATCCATGAGTGTGGCCTGTAAGAACCAGTGCAATAAAAATATTAACCAAAAAAAATGAAATAACATAACATGTGCCATGCATTTAAAGGCACATTGTATGGCATATTTTGGATATGGTAATATGCTGGGGTGGGGAGTTTCTAAATAGGGAACATATAGATAGCACTTTTTCTACATAACCCTATGAATTACTGTCCTTCAAATATTAAGTTATTAAAATATCTTGAATAATAAAGTTAAATATCACGGCACTAGATATCCTGGTTACTTTATATACAAAATAAATAATTAAATATCATAAGATAGAAACCTTGTGAAATGTTATAAAACATACGAGCACTTTCTACTGTGATTTTTTAGATGTGGACAGAAAATATTTTTTAAAAGGAATAAAACCAACTGTCCAAATTAACTGACTACATGTACTCCAGTACCACGCGGAGAGAAAAATCTTGCTTAATCTGTTAATGTACTTTTACAAATTAAAAGCCAACCTTTTTATATGAGATCTTAGATAAGAATTTGCTAGCTCTTCTCCTAGACTGCAATGGAGTCCAGTGCAACTGTTTTGCAAAATGTTTGTAGATACCAACAAAAAGAACTCTCTGTAAGCAACTTCCTTAAGTAGGTTATCTAATTGTACCAGCCTCATTTTGTGACTTATTTAAATACTCTACTGGGAAATCCCAGATATTTTAAGAACCAGCACAGTGTCAAGAAGAAAAAACAACTTATAGGCCAAAGAACTACATCAGAGTTGCATCACTTCAGACAATGGAAGAGAGAGAGTTTGGATTGCTACAGTACACAGCATAATTTCTCACTAACAACCAATCCACAAACCTTATAAAATTAAAGTTGCATACACACTGCTATTTATTTCGGAGGATTATAATATGCCCTAAAATTAGTTTTTAAAAATATGCTGCAGACCAAAATAAACAGAAACATTGGATACGTCAGTGAAATCAGGGTTTTACCCACAGTATTTGGAGAAAAAAGGTTGCCGCCAGCTTTCAAAATATAACATTTATAAACCTTCCCTGGATACAAATTAAGACGAGACTGATCAATTAGCTAAGATGTAAACCTTTTATATAGGTGTCACTTTTACTTTAGCACTTTGTTTGGCTACTTGATCTACAGAGGGATAAACACGGTCAGGATGTTTTTGCAGGAATCAAGTCTTTTATAGTGGTTTGGTGGACTTCTTTTCCTCAAAAGAAGTAACATTCAGTGTTCATTTAAAACTGGTTGGGTTAGAAGAGTGGAGGAGGAATACAGCATTATTGTCACCAATTCTTCCCCCCACAGATGCACATTTTTATCTGCAAACATATAATCAGTATATATAAAGTAACAATTCATGACTTCCTACATGGGTGTTGTGAGTATTTGGCATTGTGGCTAGTGAAAGAAGTTACACACAAACTGGTTTAAGTGACTATGAAACCAGTTAAAATCTGTAACAACAGAAGTTCAGTGCGCTTAAACCGTTTTCAACATGCCCAAAACTGGTTTAAGATAAACCTGGATGGATGTAGTATCAGACTTAACTGATTTAGATCAAACCGAATTACAGAACATTTGTCCCAGATCCCTTCCTGGTTCAAGTTAACTCACGGTCCCCCAGCATCCCAAGATGCTTTGCAGCCCCTAGGCTGGGCTGGGCTATCTGTTCCAGCCAAGCAGGGTTGGCCTCACCCCTCTGCTCCCTAACAATAACAATGACACTGCTTCGGCTAGCTGAGAGAGGGGTGGGGCTGGGGGAACCCAGGTCCAGCCCCCAGTTCAGAGGTGCCTGGGGGAAGGGGAAGCAGCAGCCCCTCACAGGCTTTTCCCCATTTACAGAACAGAGGGTGTGGCCAGGCCCCAGGCAGGGCCAGCATGCTACGGGGAGGGGGTTTAAACCCATTCCCTGGCCCGCATGGAACAGCAGCCCAGGTTGGCCAGGGGAGGGGTCAAACATCCCCTGCCAGGCTTTCCCCCACTGCCTGCTAAGGGGCGGGGGGCAGATATGGCCAGGCCCAGCCCCACTGAAGCAGGGAGGGAGGGGGGTTTAAAACCCCTCCATGGCCCACAGAGGACCCCACCCAGCTGCCTGGGGAAGGGCAGCCCCTGCCCTTTTGTCCACCCTTCCCTGGCTCCTTGCCTCCTGCACAGGACCACATCTGGGGTCTGCCTGGGAAGGATAGTGGGGAAAACCCTTACCAGGCTTTTGCCCCCAGTCCCAGTTCCCTGCTTAAAGCGGAGAGCATGGCCATGCCCTGGCCCAAGGCCTGCACACTGAGATGGGAGTGGAGGGGGGTTTAAACCCCCTCTCTGGCCTGAATGGGACCCCAACCTAGTTCTGCCTGGGAGTGGGGGCGG